ACATAATGTTATCAGACTGTGGAAAAGGATCGTACCTGTTAAAAAAATTTTGTAATATTTGTAAATCAGTTACATCTCTTTTTATTCGATATTCCCTTGAATCAATATGTTGCTCTGTACTTGTAAAAGAAACATTACAAAAATCTTCCATTTCATTGCAAATTTCTACAAGTATGATCATTAATAATACGAATTTTGTTAAAAAACTTTCAGACATACCACGACCATGTGTAAGTCCACCCTGAGTTTTCATAGATCTCATCAAAATTTGTTCGATGGTCATATCCGACCAAACTCCCGACCAAAACTTGTGAGTACGTCTAATAGTGAAGAATCCTTCGGTGAATCTAGTAGATTCATAATCATCATTTATTGTATTGTGTATTCCAAATAATTAATAATAATTTTAACTAATTAGAATGTCACTCAGGTATATAAATTACCTTAAAACAGCAATAAATAGGCAACTACAAATATTATTTAAAGAAGGTTCTACAACTTTTTAAAAATATTGTAGATGTCTTATATAATATTAACTTTATGAACTTATTTGTTTGTTAATTATAGAAGGATATTTTAATTTGTATTTTTTTCGTTTATTAATAAAACATTAAATTTTACGTTTTTTGAGTAATTAAAATGTAAATTTTAATAAATACCTCAAAATTGTACATGATGATTTAAAACAAATTTTCGAATTTGAGGTTTTTTCATATTTTTGCATTTTCTAAGAATATTTCCTACAGTAATGTATATTTTTCTTAACACCATCAGAAAGTAGATATTTCAACGAACAAAAACCCCCCAAAATTTTTGAAAAAAGCTGATATTTTGACGTCAGAATTTTCGATTGAAAATTAGGGTGCTTTTTTGATATTAAATTAAAATGAAGCGAAAAAATAAATATTTTTAATCAAATAAATTACAGTGTATTTGGGACATAATAAGGTAAGTTTTCTTTAAATTTCGTAGAAAATAAAATTTATTTGAAAAAGATATAAATAAAAAACCAAAAACTTGGTTTTTTGAATTTTTCACCAAAATTTTGAGGTTATGTGAAAAATCTGCAAATACAAAAGTTGTAGATCTTTTTATTGCCTACAACTTTGCCATTTAACTTTTTTCCATAGGACTTGTAGTTTTGCCGGAAATCAAGATAAACCATTTTTTACCCTTAAACCCCCCCCCCCCCCGTCCCACTTCCCGAACTCGAATCGACCGTAATTTATTTTTCCTTTCATTTTGATCATATTCCCCTCCTTTTCTAATGGGTTTCATCCTACTGTAATTTTTTTTCACTTTTTACCATTTTTGTAGGCTTTGACCCTGGTGTATTATCAATACATAGTATAAAACAAAGTCGCTTTCGCTGTATGTCCGTATGTATACTTAGATCTTTAAAACTACGCAACGGATTTTGATGCGGTTTTTTTTTAATAGATAGAGTGATTCTTAAGGAAGGTTTGTATGTATATACATATTGCACCCGTGCGAAGCCGGGGCGGGTCGCTAGTAGCTTATAAAATTATCTATGAAAGATATTTGATACTTTTTTCTTAGCTAGAACTGCAAAAGCAGTTCAAAATACGCATGAACCTAATCTAATTAGTTCAATAAGTTATAATTAAATCTCTCTTGAAATGTAGGTATTACTTTAGCTCTATTGTACCCAAAAGATGGTCCATGGTGTTGCAATAAAATCACAAATCCGGATTTCCGGGGTCTTACTCTTGAATCCAATTCCGATCGACATTGGTATTGTGAAATTTCGTACTCTTTTGTTGCAAAACTAGCGCCCGTTGCATTTGTATTGCGTGGATATTGAATGAACTAAATGGTATTGAGTTTGGCTTTACATGAATGCTATTTTGCTAACAGCAACGATTGTGGTTGTATAGTTTTGACATTGAATCGTTATTGAGATTTTATTGGATTGAAATTGCATTGACATTGAGATTGGTTTCAAGAGTAAGCACCCAGGTCAGTACCTACCTATCCAGGAATTTTGAAACTGAAATGAAACGTTGATGATCGAGAAGCGAACAGAACATAATAGGTCAATGCCCTTTACAGTATTAAACACAAATACTTATTATTGTTACACATTTTATTGCAAAATAAACATTAATATCAAAATCGTACCTAATGAGTTCACTTCATAGTAACTAGGTAGGTGTAGGTATATGACCTTAGTGATATATAATATAATATAATATTTCTGTATGTATGGCCCAATAATAAATAATCACGTAATTCACTATAAATAGAATTAATTGAAATGATAAATAATACTTGTGTAGGTACGAACTACGAACCATCCATATGCAATAACTACCAATTATTAATTTTGTAATAACAAATAAACGAAGTACCTATATATGTAATTAGGTAAGTTATCATTGCGAGGAAAACCACAATTAGAATTACTATACCATGTTTTGGAAAATCCCGTTAAAGGATAAATCGTGAGTACCTAGGACCTATTTATTCTATTTCAGAATATTTTAATATCTACTCATGATATTCGCCATTATAGATTATAGGCCATGGCCATGTTTACGCCATTTAATTTTAATTTAATTGTTTATTAAATTAAAAAAAGAACAGTATTTAAGGAAAAGAGTTGGAGTCGAGTATAATTTTGATTTAAATTCTTAAATAGGTATCTACAAGGTCGTAGTTATTACAAAGGGTTACAAATGTGAGAATAAATGAATAATTATTAGGTCTAATTTTAGGTAGACATCAAATAAGTATTCAAAATTATACCTCCGATAAAAATCTGGCGTTGGAATAATCGGCCCCTAGATCAGTAAAGTGCACTGTAATACCTTCTCAATATCTCGGTCAAGGTCACTGTCCCTCGGGAACGCAGCACTTCTCTCTTAATGTAAATCATATTGTTTTATTCACGAAAGTTATGAAAACACAGTATTAATTAGGTATGAAACTGTCGAATAGGTTTTAACAAACTCATGTCATTTTGTTTTGATTATTTGTTTATCAAAAACCTGGATTATCGTGATAACAACGAGATTCTGGGATGTCAAGTTCTAGGTGAAGGCCATGACCAGGGTTGGACTTGCGCAGTCGGGAGGGCCACCGAATGTTGCCCCTTCGAATAATTTTGCGGCAAAAACGTCAAAGATTTCGTGTAGCATTATATTAGATTATAAAGAAAGGTCTAGGCGCTCGAAATCATATTCGTATAGATGTTTCTTTTTTTGATTAGATAATCAAGTAGGTAATTGTTATGTTTAACTCTACTTGTAGTAAAATGTGTATGTGTAGGTCAGTATGAAAAATTTAAATTTAAATTCAACCTTTGTACCTAATTATCTAGATCTAGGCACTTACCACCGGTGAACGCTTACTGCAAAGCATCCTTATGTGATTTTCATTTAGTTCCTGTAATCCTGTAAATTATAGTACCTAGTTGGAAAATCTTTAATAGGTAGGCATCAGAAATGGGTCGGCGTTTGGACATTATATGGTAAACGATGGACGGTGATGGAGTACGGCAAGCGATAAATAAGCAACTTATTAACTCGGACTTTAAAACCAGGTTATGTTGAGGAAACACAGACTCTGGCAAAGAATTCCCGAAAATGCAGTCTTAATTTCAACCAACATAAGTAATTCTCAAATTGTACCTGCAATGCAAAGGGTCCTTGTTGCCCGCGACTACGTTCACGTAGAATATTAATTTTATTTAGAACATATCTTTCTTTTGGTTTCAAGTTTCCAAAATAAAAATAGCCTATATTACTTCATAGTACATCAGCTACCTGTTAATAAGTCTTGCAAATTCGGTTCAGCCTTTGAAGAAATTAGCCAATACAAACAGACAAATAATAAAAAATGGTATGTGTACCGTATGCACCTATGTGTCTGTCTCATATGTAGTTAAAAGCGGTTATTTTAATATTACAAACAGACACTTCAATTTTATTCATCTGCATCGCATCGTTACCGTTTAATATAAATAAAACACACATCTTAAATATATAATGTATAATGCTATAATAATCTAAGTAAAATAACGTAGTAATAAAATCAAATAGTACATAAAAGAGGTCACAAAAACAAAAATATAAAGTATTTTACAAGGGGCGGGTTACACCATTCTAAAGAGGATCATTTAACGTCGATTAAATCGGTGGTCGGTTACAATTTCTATTTACTTAGCAGCAACATTTAAGTATTACATTTTTGAGACCCCAATATTATAAATTAAATAAGACAACCTGCTTTTTAACTTAAACACGTTTATTACATACTTGCTATAACTACGTCATAGTTTAACTTACAAAGATCAATTGAATTGCTAGTCCAACTGTCCAAAGTAACTTGAACTTATCAAATAAATATTACTTTAAACTGAAAGCAATACATATTATGATAGACAATTAAATAGACCTGTGTAAATGACACAAATATAACGTAGTTTAATACACTAAACCCTAAAAAATAAACATAGTGCTTAATAATTCACTTCTTTGTGAGAAAATGTACAAGCGAACATTGCAAAACACATTTTTACAATTATTCGTTTTCGAATCAGATGCCTGCGACCTCATACATAAGAAAAAAATCATAATTAACAGTTAAATTCGATCGCACGGTGTAACCCGCCCTAACCAGCCCTGAGCTGCCCTTTTAACATAAATTGTATGCAACAAAATATAACATTGTTTAAAAAAACCCTTCACACAATATCAAAGTTTTCCATATTCGACGACTCTGATTGGTCGCTATTTTTTAATGCATCTAAACGAACCAATCAAGATTGAGATTTATTAGTCGATTCTGATTGGAGAATTTGGTGAGTTGGAACCATGCCTTAAGTAAATTATCTGTTCAAATAAGTACGCAACACATTTAAGATAGTTGTAAAACAGCAATGCCAGTATATTTTACAGATCTCACTCAAATACATAACATAACATCACGCCTTTAACCTCGAAGGGGTAGGTACAGGTGCACATTACGGTACTTAATGCCACCGTACAATATAACACCCACTTTTCACTAATAGGGGGTGAGACTCACTCAAATATAAAATCAATAAACAAACAGTGAGTGCATTTTAAATATCTGTTACATTTAAACAACTCTTATTTACAGTTAATCAACCGAATTTCAGTTCTAGTACCACGACATGAAGATAACGTTGAAAGCAAAAATAAATTTTCGGTACTTAATGCAGCTAACATATTATGTTTTATGTATAGCGAAATAGAGTTGAAAATTAGTTAATGTAGCTGAAAAAGTTCGTTAAAATGTCGATAATTGTTGCATAGAAGGATAAAATTAATGTTACAATTATATCGTCCCACAAAATATGAATTAACTTAAATCCATTAGGCCGTTATAAAACAATATGGCGAATTGATTGCCAACTACAAAATCTAGAAAGTGGCTATTATAATGTCTTGTGATAAACTATGAAACATCCGCGAAAATACATATACATATAAATTCTACAATTTGAAGATCCCCAAGTCGTCCGCCGATCAAATCAACATTTAAAAGAGACCTTATTATTATTATTAAACGGTCTTATTTAGCTTGTCCAGTTTGTTAGTAATTGGAATTTTATCCCCTTCCTGATCGATACACTCTTAATCTTGATGACCATACAATATAATCTATTTTTTTCCACGACTGCCTCCATTCTGGATATCAAACGAAAGGGATTGTTTAGTAGAATAGAGCTCATTAAAACAATTAAATATTTTTTTATTATATAATATTAGTTGGTATAACTACAGCCCATCTACAGCAACAATTAAATCACAATGTCTATTTGTCAGAAAACAAAACATTCAATATAAGTGGTTTCATCGACATAGGACCTCAATATTCAAACATTTAATGCTACATAGACAGTTGGCGAAGTTTTTATAAGTCACCTTCGAATCCCGGTGTTCCATAATTCAGCACAAGACTATGTGTAGCGAATACTCCCTTACCCTGATCACACAGTCGGCTTGACATTCTCACTTTGCATTATATTACGCCTTACATAAGATCCAAAATTGTATACAAGCTGATAATGTCAATATGGTCGATTACGTCACGGAATGAAGTCTATGAGTACAAGTGACATTTTTTTCTAAAAAATTCTCTTATTCAGTATCCTAGCCTAAAATGGTCGTAGCTATGGTCACCTAAAGACAAACGAACTCTCATTTTTTTTTTGTATTTTATCACCTTTTTCTATACATCACAGCGTCAACGCGTATTTGTTTTTTTTTATATATTTTCTTACTAACAGGCCACTTGATTGATACGCAGTGCCCTTATGGAAGCTTGATCTTAAAAATGGGACACTATAGCATTATTCATAGGCTGTACATTTTGTGTTTGACAGACAAAATGTTAGATAAGTATGATGCGTTTATGAATAACACGTGTAATAGATAATGACATTGCAGTGTGATCCTCTCATATACGTAGACATCGTTCCGCGACTGCAGCAGAGTACATCAGCCTACCTGCTAGGTCATCTGTCCGACTTGCCGGCGTTGTGTAAATGGTTCGGTGCGTCCGCGAACGCGAACTTGAGCCTGTAAGCTTCAGCCACCAGCACACTAATGTTAGAGTCGGTCCAGTTTTGTGTGGGGACGTTCTGTAGGAGTATCATGAGGCCTTGGAAGTCTCTTTCTAGCATGAGCCTCTCTCTCCAATGGAGGAGAAAGGCGGCGCAGACGTATAGTTGGAAGGTCGCGAACCCGTCAGACTCTGCGAGGTAGGTGTCCCAAAGACGAATGGTGCAAGGAAGTGGTATTTCCCTGGTAAGGAGGTTGTTCATCCACCTGAATGAGAACTGCAGGTAGTCGACGCCGTGGGTCTGCAGGTGCTCGTGTAGCGGAAGGTCTATGCGACGTATCAGCTCTTTCAGTTGGTTCACCTGGAAATAAAGAGAAAATTGTCAGACGCTGATTGATCGGTATGAAATACAGTGGAATTTTGATAACAACACACATTTCTGTAAAATTTTTATAACGTAACACATACATCCTAAGGCAGATGATAATACACAGAGTCCTATGTACAGGTAAACGGATATTCGACAATTAACCTGCAGAATAGGCAGTAGCTTAGCTTTGATATTACGTTCACAGTTGGTTTGGTGAAATTAGTGTCATTGAAGCATGAAGTAGTGATCCCCTTACGGACCATTTGGTACAAAGGGGTGACGCGCCAGAGGCAGCCGCACTTAGGATAAGCCATCATCATCATACCAGCCACAATACGTCCACTGCTGTACATAGACCTCCCTTAATATCTTCCAGACTAACCGGTCAGAACAAGCAAGTTTCCAGCAAATTCTTGCCAACCCATAATCCTATTATGAAGTAGTTGTTGTGTTGTTTTGTACAATAAACAATTTTTATTTTTTTTATTTTTAAAAGTTCTAAAAACCATATTTTTGGCTTCGATATCGACTGTAGTCGACGCCTCAAGTATTGTTTTAAAAAAATAAATGTACAATTTTGACTTTTCTACGATTTTATTATAATATGTATAAAATAAAATATTATATGTATAAATAAAATATAGATGCGAAATTTTGTATGTTTCTTTGTTTATTACTCCTTCGCGTCAAAACGGCTGAAGAGGTCGGCATAATTGGGAGCAAGACCATATTATAATCTGGAAAAACACGTAGGCAACATTAATACCACCTTTAACTAGATCATATAAGTAATTCCACACCAAGTCTAATTAACCAGAACACAGTCTAATTGTGTTTAACCACATAAATATAAAATTTGCCTGTTATTGTTTATTTTCGTCGCTATCATTTTCCTGGGTACAAAATATTATTAATATGTTTTATATGCAGCTAATGACGCATACAGTTTACATGGAACAACAATATGGCGGAATGATAGCAGCCAATTAGAGGCTGGTGATCAAGGAAAATGGTAGCCGTATCTATTTCCTTGTATAGTCGGTAAACAAGGGTGCGGTGTTTGGTGCACGTGTGTCGCTGAACGACATAGTAAAGGTAGTATATTATTATTTTTTTTGTTATTCTTGATGGTCCGGACGAAGATTTGAATAGTAAGTAGATACTCGTCATATTTGGATTCTTTACGTTCATTCTGAGTTAATCTTATACTTATTATATAAAGCGGAAGAGTTTGTTTTTTGTTTGTTTGTTTGTTTGAACGCGCTAATCTCCGTAACTACAAGTCTGATTTGAATAATTCTTTTTGTGTTGGATATCGCATTTATCGAGGATGGCTACAGGCTATAAAACATCACGCAATAGGAGCTGACCAGAGCGTGTGAAACCACGCGGAATTAGCTAGGGTACTAGCTACTACAAAAGTAATGCGTAATTTTCGCAAAACACCAAGAATAAGAAAACTAACTAGATCAGTTTTCTTATTTAAGTCCCTGATGGTAAGTTTTGCAATGCACTTGGTGACAGTGTAACGAGTTTCTTAGTTAAAAATTACATTTATTTAAAGCAGGTAATCTTGGTGATTGTTAACATCAATCTAACAAAAATTAACGAGGACATTAATTTCAACCCGTAAAGCACTAAAACTGAAATGGCAATGTGCAGGCCATGTATCGAGATACACAGACAACAGGTGGACAATCAAAACTACAAGGTGGAAAAGACCAGTTGGCAAAAGAAAGGTAGGAAGACCGAAAAGAAGATGGGCTGACGATATAACCGAATTAACTGGAAAGGTCTGGAGGAGGCCTTCACCCGGGGAGGTGTCCATACCCAATAACTAAAATAACCCTTACTAACACCTAGACATAAGCAAAACTATTAACTTGTAAAATACTAACCAAGAAAATACCAACGTTTAAATTGTAATTTAAGGTTATGGAAATAAAGGCTTTTTTTATTTATTTTATCAATACATAGTATAAAACAAAGTCGCTTTCGCTGTATGTCCGTATGTATGCTTAGATCTTTAAAACTACGCAACGGATTTTGATGCGGTTTTTTTTTATCCCGGTACCGTAATCATAGCGCCATCTAACTCGATCCCAACGCCATCTATCTCGCGCCGAGACAACTCGTGTTAATTGTGAATTATCAATACGTAGTATAAAACAAAGTCGCTTTCGCTGTATGTCCGTATGTATGCTTAGATCTTTAAAACTACGCAACGGATTTTGATGCGGTTTTTTTTAATCGATAGAGTGATTCTTAAGGAAGGTTTGTATGTATAATACATGTATATTGCACCCGTGCGAAGCCGGGGCGGGTCGCTAGTTATTTATAAGTTGCTTGTCTAAAACACTTTTAATAAATGCATGATTAATCTAGAATATTTCATAGGTCATCTATTACATTTAACAATAACAAAAGCCATTGTAAAGTTTTCTCATAACTATGTATAAAACAGAACATTTGTATTGTACGTTGAATTTACGATGAGAAATGTAATTACCTACAAAAATGGCTACAAAGACATTAATAAATTGTATATTACTACATGGTATAAAACAGTCGCTATCCGCCGTCTGTCTGTCAACGAACGTAAAACTACGCAACGGATTTTGATGCGGTAGTTTTTAACAGATAGAGTGATACTTAAGGAAGGTTTATAATATGTATAATACATGCATATTGTACCCATACGAAGCCGGGGCGGGTCGCTAGTTATGCAAAATGCACGATACTCCATTAAATCTAAAAATTTTAAACTAATGAAATATGGTTTGTATGCTAATTCTTAATTAATATTCGGGCAGTTAAGTTGCTATTCCTATTGTTATAGTGGACGAGTCTATTGTCCATTCCTGTACTAACTTGGATGGAATCTAAAACATCACGACCACACAATAGGGTAGATGACTAATTTTTATTTTAATATCCGTCTGAAAAACATTAGACACGCATTTTTAATTTACTTATGGTATAGGAGCTAGCAACGTTTTCGAGAAAGAATTTTAGGTCAGCTGATTTTGTGATATGTCGTCCTTCTTGCACTTTCGGTTAGAGTCTGGGCTATCTGGCTGGCGGTAGCGGTTGCGTTCTTTAGTGCGCATCCTACCCGTCCAGGTAATAATCCTGGATTTTAAAAACATTTTAGAAGGCGTAATTTTTATTTTTTTGTTTTTAGATAAGTCTACCTGAAATACTTTTTTTATTGCCAGACATTTTTGACAATGCTAACTATGTGCCATACGCGATTTTTTGTTTCTTTTTTATTAAAATTTCAAAGTATTTTATAATGTCTGTAATTTTAATATTATGTTATTTAAAGATAAAAAAAACTTAAAATAAATTTTCCAGACATTAATTCGATTGTTAAGTCTTGAATTAAAATGAAAAAGTCATGAAAAGTATTGCAGTATAATGCTATCAATCGGTCCTAACAGAATTCGGCCCCATCATTTCGCAGCTGAACTTAAAAATGGGCAATTTAAAGAAGCTTTAGTTAACTTTTTCTATGATCACTGAGGTAGTGTCTTTGTTATACGCTGTTCTGATTCTGATATTTTAATTATACTTCTGGGAAATATGGATCATCTGAAAGCATCTTTGAAAATTTGGATAAATATGGGTGTTGGAAATCATCAGCGTTACATAAACATCAATGAATTACACCGAATTCTTGGTGACTCTTTATGCAAAGCTTTACCATGCTTCCACGCAATAACCGGATGTGATTACACGCCAGCTTTATTTAGAAAATGCAAAGTTAAGCCTTTTAAAATATTAGAAAATTCTGAAGAATACCAGTTAGCTTTTGATAATATAATTACGGATGACGATGAAGTACTTGAAACTACGTTTGTAACCCTGGAGAAATTTATTTGTCAAATGTATGGAGTTAAAAATTGTTCCAATGTCAATGATGTTCGATTTCATTTGTTTTCAAGTACGTTTTAGTCAAAAAAATCAGATGAGAACTTCGACAAAAAATTTCGAAACTTTGACTCATCCAGTTTGCCACCCTGTAAAGCGGAATTGCAACAGCATTTATTGAGGGTTCGTTACGTGACGAAAATTTGGAGAAATGCTCACTCAAAACATCCAACATCTTTATCTCCAATGGCTTTCGGTTGGACCATTAATGGTGACAAATATGATTTTGTCTGGTTTTTGGGAGATCAATTACCATCCTCAGTTGCAGATATTATTGTTCAAAGTAAGTGTGAAATGGAATATTTGTTAATAATAACTAAAATGCTTTATAACGAACAAGAAGAATTACACTATTTATTTTTTTTTCTGTTGCAGATGTTAGAGTTTTAGAAGATAACGAAAATTCCCAAGAACATGATATGAATGACACTGACAAAGACAGCGACGATGATGATGATAATGATTATGAAGATGCCTCTTTTTTTTGTGACGTCACTATAGGCTGAAACAACTTGAAAAACTTAATATTTATTATTTTATCATTTTTAATTAGTAATCAGAACAATTTAAATAAAAAGTGATGTTTTTTTAAATTTTAATCTAATTTTATATTCCTTTTTATGCTTAAATTTTTTTCGAACTTGCTCGGACTAGAATGATTATTATAACCTGGACGGGTAGGATGCGCACTAAAGAACGCAACCGCTACCGCCAGCCAGATAGCCCAGACTCTAACCGAAATAGCAAGAAGGACGACATATCACAAAATCAGCTGACCTAAAATTCTTACTTTCCAAACGTTGCTAGCTCCCGTACTATTACGGAAACGAATAGTTTCGAAGATATATTAATTTGAAATATCGCATGACGTCACTTTTGAGTACGATTTATACTCTAAAAAAATGACGTAGCTACCTCCCACTCCGGAACTTTGATTCGTTTTATCCAAGTACTGTTTTGTTATACGATAAAATAAAAAAAAAATACGTGTCTAATATTTTTTCATTGCCTAACTGACGAACTAATTAGATTTTTAATTGTCATACCCTGTCATCATCCCTATTAATCTGCACTAATGGAAACTAAATCCCTACCCCCAAAAGACCGGTAACTCCTCTGGTAATGCGGGTGTCCATGGGTAGCGACGATTGCATATCAGTACCCTCTAAAAATCTCCATTTATCAAGAAATCACTCCAAAGAGATTTTTTTGCCACTATCTTGCCTGGTGTTAAGCGATGATGCGGTCTAGGATGGAGTACGTCGTCCCTTATGCAACCTTTTCACTCGAGCCTTGCTTGAAGACACACTCTGGCAAAGAATTCCACTCCTTAGCAGTACGCACAAGGAAGCTTGATGCGAAGCGCTTCGTGCATATAGGTCTACCATGAATCGGTGACGCTTCCCCGATTGTCTTATAGTCCGATGACGGAAAGGACTAAGGGGAATCAAGTGCAATTCCCCCGCACACTCAACGAAATGTATCTGGTAGAAAACCGAAAGGCTATCAACCTTATGCCTGTGTTCGAGGCTTTGAAGCCGGGTCTCCACAAGAATAGAGATTCGGTATGGCCGTGAATGATCTTTAAATCAAGGACGTTGAAAAAAATGCGGACATGGTCTCTTGAAACAACGACTGTGGCACCTGGCTACTATAGACATACACACAGAACATAATCACATTGACACTTTTTTTTTAAGGGGGGAAAATCATCGAATGACTGCTCCCGCCTGGGTGAGGCGGGAGGGAGTGTCAGACTCTTACTGACTAAAAACCACCCCGTTTCTTCTCCTGCACGTCGAGCCGGAGCCCCGGTTACCCGTTAGGTTCTCCGCGACATCACATTGACACTAAGGACATTATCATTTTCTTAAGTCCAGACTTAAGTCCTTCGTGCGTTCTAACGTGGTTCTAACCTTACACACGCACATGTAATAAAACCACTTTCTTTTTCTTTTTTTTAAACTGACACTGACATTTTGGTGCTTCAATAATTTCTAAGTGAATTTATGTCCGCCTTTTTCAACGTATTTAAAAGATATGATACAGTATACAGGCTGTATGTTGTAATGCAGTGTATCTATTTTGTAGATAGAAACGTCAATACGGGTTGACAACTAGTCAAATTCAATACTTTTATCGAAACGTCAAAAACGATACTGTTTTGTACGAAATCCCTACATATGACGTCATCATATTTTCGCGTCAAATAGCACATTTATATCTAAAAAAAGCCAGAATAAATCGAAAATTAAGTATATCGGCAAATCAATGAATGAAAGTGTAATTATTTTTTAACCGACTTCAAAAAAGGAGGAGGTTCTCAATTCCACCGTATATATTTTTTTTCTTATTTAATTGGACTGAAAAATCAAATTAGTTTATTTTTGAACCAGGAAACTACCCAATTAATGATTTAATTTGTAAATTGTAATTGAACAGCACAGCATACACAATGAAACAAAAAATGAACACAGCCTTCAATACTTTTTCATCATTAGTTGTATCTACCTATTCAAACATTAACTTAAAAAATCTTTTTTGTACGAACTCAATAAGATCACACCGTTTACTGGGCGCTTATTACACCACCTTCGTATACCCGATAAACTTATGTGACAGTTTTTTTAAATACTGAAAGGCAATTTTAAGTCGCGCTTAAGTATAGATCTGTCTCTACAAATTCTTTGCAAAATGACAGAGATGCCACGATATTTAAGTACAACTTAATTGCCATAGAAGAAAAAAAAAGTACAACTTAGAATTGAGTAGCCTTTTAGTATTTGAGAGTTGAAGTGAAAGTTCATACAAATTACGTTCTTAATTCAAAATCTGGTACCTACATAGCGGCGATCTAGGCTATCGAAACAGGCCCTTAGTACCATATCGCATCAATCTATCATAAATTATTTAATGTTCTGTATTTGGCTATAATTAACATAAAACTTTAAACAGGTTGGCAACGTCTTACAAATGGTCTTTCTAAGTTAAAAAATTGTTCGTTTTGCAATGTATGTTGGTCAGTGGCCTAAAGTCTATTTTATACTTTATTCAGAAACAATATCATAAAGCGCATTTATATTTTACATTCTAAGAGGGTGTTGGCCCAAACAGGTTTCAATAGATTTTCGATTCTTAAAAAACTTATTGTAAGTCCCCACCTCACCTATTCAATTAGGTTGGGTTTATCAAAAGTGTAACCCCCCAATCGGATCAGACAAGGAGCACGGGTAGAGTAAGGTTGGTGACAAATATATTCAGACTGCATGGTTGACAAGGTTTGAACAACCAGTCGCCACGCAATGTGCAGTGTGTTTAATTCCAAACATTCAAAGTGAGCTCGATCGCATTCTCGCCCGTCATTGGTCGAGATTATTCTCACACATGGCGGACCGCGAGTTCACTTCAATCTTTCAAAGCTGCAGAATAGTTTAGCAAAACAACTTGTAGTGTGTTCCACAAATTATTGTCCCGGGTCTAAGTGTCATATGTATGTGAACTTGTATGCTTGTAAATGCACCCGACAACATCACTCTCTCTCTCAAACTCACGACATAGGAGAAAATCCTAGTGTGGGGTAATGTTTTTCTAAAAATATAATTATATATTTTTTTTTTGTCGGTTACCACATAGGTTTACATCTACCCATTTCTTCTTATCGGCAATATGACGTCATAACGGCGATCATATTCCGATTACGAGAGGTCAGGTAGTAACAATACAGTGTGTACATGTACACTAAGAAAATCGATTAACTTCGCCTACGTTACTTTACTACCTCTAGTACCTACTTTAACGACCCGGTTCGACGAAAGGTAATATCTTTACGGAATTGCTTTCTGTGAAGATTTCTGTCAATATTTTGACAGACTCGGAACTACGGAACTCTTTTATCATAATTCTATGTTTTTTATCCCATTAAAAGGCCATTAAAAAGAGCATAATTATTTATTTGCATATTACCTATTTATTTATCGATGACATTCTACAATTTTACATGAAGCCTAGCCTAGCTTTACTGACATACCGATTGACGAACAATTCAATTCTTGCCGTTTCAAAAGTGCCTAGTTAAGCATTAATTGAAATAAATGCTTTGACTTTGACTTTGAAGAGGCGAAGAGTGAAATGACACTTTTGCCTGTCACATTCAGCCAGCACTCATACAGATATAACATTTAACCAACGGCCTAAATGACTAGCCATTTCATTGAATGAAGAGATTGTCATTACAACCAAACTTACTACCACAATGGGAGGTTAGGTTAGAACTCGAATCGCCTTCAGAAATAAACAGCTAAAAGAATTGGGATGATGACGGGGTATGAACATTAAACTAATTAGTCCGTAAGTGAGGTAATGAAAAAATATTAGACACGTATTTTTTTTTTAATTTTGTCTTAAAATAAAACAATACTAAGATAAAACGAATCAAAGTTTAGTAGTGGGGGCTAAAACGTCATTTCTACGTATAAAATGTACATAGAAGTGACGTCACGCGACATTTCAAATCAATATATTATCATATTCATCATCGAAAGTATTCGTTTCTGTAAGAACATAAAAAATACGTGTCTAATGATTTAAAATAATCTACCAGACGGATATTAAAATAAAAATTAGGCATCTACCCTATTGGACTGCGATACCAATAAACAGGCTAGGTCGTTAATTGAATGGCTAATTATGCTAGTTGCCTGCGACGTATGTATTGCGTAACTTTTTAGATTAATATTTCATTATCAATAATAATTAATTAATTGACTAACTCTTATATACAATCGAGGAATAGGCAGCATAAATATAAATCAGATGGCAGTACCTACAGCACCGTAAGTGCGGCGTCGAATGTAATCAGTGCTTATCACTTAATTGATTAGTAGTCGACGACCTGGATTTGTATGATAATTCCAAGTGACTTTATTTATTTGATACTAGCTGACACGGCAAACTACGTACCGCATTCAAAAATAACACCATTTAAACCTGCCGTGGACTGCCACGAACATTTCATTTTAAGACAATAATTAGCCAAATCGGTTCAGCCGTTCTCGAGTTATAGCGAGACTAACGAACAGAAATTCATTTTTATTTACATAGATGAAGTATTATAACTTCTTAACTCGTCAAGTACCGTCATTATAGACAAAATTATAGAACAATAGGTTGCGGTCACCGGTGACCGCTTGGTGTTTGACAGTTTAATTATAATGTATGGAAGAATTGCCGACAGAAAACTTGAGGCCTAATCCTTCGCTAGCGTTGCCCATATTAAATTGTATCCTATGGCGTTTAACCTAAAGATTAAATTCTGATACATTTTATATGGGGTATGCCAAAATGGTTTTTCTATGCGTATATCGTATGCCAAAGTCAAATCAATCGATTGACATAGGTAATGGCCATAAATTGATAAGCAGTCAATAAAAAAAAAGATCCCACCTTATATTGAATACCAAGTTGAGCAAAAATGTAATTATCCTGGATGCTGTCGAGGAACTTGGAGAGGCACCAGAAGGAGTCAGCTTCTATAATGTCCCTCTGTTCTTCAGTCAGTTTGTCCAGGGGAAAGTTGTCCAACTCCTGGCCAGGAGCTGCCTCTTGCAGGAAGACCATGAAGAATGGAGTCACCAGGTCGTTAATGCCTTGCACGTAGCCTGATGCTGGATGCCTAATCGCCCAGATGTACAGGATTCGTTCGAACATCACCTGGAATTTGAGAAAGATCAAAATGTTAGACTTTAGTACTAGATGATGATTTTAAAGGACCAGTTTCAAGGCACTTCTCTTTCTGATTACTTATTAAATTGTACTTGAGAAGATTAAGATATCTATTCAAGATACATGTTAGTTACAATTATTCATAAAGAGAAAATTCATTCATAAGGTTGTTTCACATTCATGTGGTATTAAAGAATTCATTCAACTGACCCTTTCATTGGTTTGTGGATGGTGTTTGGTTTCATGGGCTTTTGTCTAAACTCTAAACAATGAGTATTTATCCATAAGGACACATTTTAAACGATACCCTTCTTTCTGTCGAGTAAAAATAGAAAGCGATGAGGTGAGATGTTGATTCTCAACTATTATATTTTTTTTTCTTTATTTCTATTCTAATACCAATTCGCAATCTTCAACAATATAGAAAGCAAAAAATCAACAAACCTGCACAGTAATCTGTTGGAAGAGAGCCACAAGTGGGCTCATCCGAGGTATATCTATGTGAATCTGTCTGTAAGTATCATCGTCTCGCTCTGCATCATAGTATTGCCGTACTAGATGTTTATAGTCCGCTCTCTTTCTCTCCAGGGTCTCTGCTCGCCGCTCTGCGTTGGGAGGCAGGTAACCGGCGAGAAGCCGCCATGTTATAGCTCTGGCCTGAAGAAAAGAGTTTGTATTGGTTTTAGAAGTTTATAAAGATAGTTCGTTTTGTTAGTATAACTTGGTTTATATAAAAAAGCTATAGATTAGATGATTATTAGGGGTATATGATCAAAGGGCTATTCCCGTCCTGGCTGAGGCAAGAAGAAGTGTCAAATTCTTACTGATTAACAGGAGTCAGTAAGAGTCTGACACTCGGAAGGAAGTTCAAGCTGTACCAGTAACCCTTGTAGTTGTCTGTAGCCTGGACAGATCAGATGATGAAGAGATATTACAATTAAGATGGGTGCTAATCTATCTCCATTTTGCTATTTATAACATAAATTATTATGTTACATCTGGATGAAATGAAGTTCATAAAGACACATAATGTAGTAACATCAATATTGTGTCATGTAATCTAATTTTGCTACAGTTTTTGCTTAAAAAACCTGCAAGTATACCAAACATTTTCATAAAAAACTTGTAAAATTACCTAAGTCTTAAGTTACGTACCACTATCTATGTTAATTTTATGCAAACTCATTTGAAGTTCAAGTTTGTTTTTACATAATTTACTGTCTTATTTATCTTTTATGCTAATTAGTGTAAACATTGGAGTGGCAAGGTACCGCAGTGCGTATTTTAAAAAAAACAAAACAATAATCTAATGGAGATAACAAAGATATTATATTATTTACCACATACTCTGTTATATTTACCTCATAATTGTTATCCTAGTAAGTATGACAACTCTAAAGCAGTGTCCACACACTTGTCGATGTATGTATGTGTGTGCCTATTCTTGTTTGTGATCACAGATCAAAGGCTGTTCAGCAAACAGTTTGTGATGTATCTAAATGCTTGCTACACATCAATGTTTTGGACTTTATTTATTACCTTTGTTATTTGTAGGTGTGGCAAACATCTAGCATGTGGAGGAGGCATTAAAACCTTGTCTTAAGTTGTTATTTAAATAGAAATACACATAATTATGCAAAAACAGACCAATGTCATGATAATTAGTTCATGTATTGACAGCACACAGTGTGTAGTTTGTAAAGATGCAGATAGTTATTGTAACATTCACTTATAACCAGTTATGTTATGAGTTTCATGTAATTGAGAGCACCAATTGCCACCAATTACAATATTCTAGACTGCAGTGCAATACCTGAGAATTTTCAAAAAGCGAAAATACTCAAAAATCTTCAGCCCGACTCAGACATTGAGCTCAGAAGCCTTAGTACGAGTTTCATTTACGTTTAAAGTATTCATAAAAAGTACGCGTTCGGCACTCTGATTGGCCGGCGCCAATGAACCAACCAATCAGAGTGCCGAACGCGTACTCGTTACGATTACTTTAAACGTAAAACAAACTCATACTAAGGTCTCAGATCCTGAATATTAAGTTGATTGAATTTTAAGCAGCTAGGCTGCTAAGACTAGTGTAATATGCCTGTGTCTAGAGTAAAAAATTAGCCTAAGTAAGGTATGATCTTTGACAATTTCATAGAAGGTTTACGTGACAAAGTATGTAGAAAACATTGTTGTTTCTATTCTATTATACTGTTTTGTAACTTTCCTACTTAATTCAATAACAATAGGATCCCTATTACAATACACTTAATAACATTCCTAGTGCATTGTGGATAAACCTACTAGTTTCTATGACTATCTATTTACTTATTAAACTGTCAAACACCAAGCGGTCATCGGTGACCGCAACCTATTGTTCTATAATTGTGTCTACAAAACCGGTACTCGACGAGTTAATATGTTTGTTTATATTACGTTAGTCTGCTGAATAGTTCGTTTATCGAGGAACGCTATAGGCTATAAAACATTATGCTATGATGAATAAGAGCCAAGCAGTGGGTGAAACCACACGAGAGTAGGTAGTGAGGAATAAGAAATGTTTTATGTTATCAATGCTTCTGTTCAGACTTATATAGGTACTCTTTTGACAACACCTGTAGCATTTTCTTATCTTATAATTATGGCATTGACATAGTTACTTAGTTTATTTTTTTATTTCAACAATGTATCTCACATAGACAATGCTAACCTTAACAAGTCATGTATAAAGTAATAATTATGATTGTTTGTTTGTCTGCATTGCATGATACCCAAACTACAGGACTGATTTGAAATTGAAACACTATTTTTTATTCCCATATTTTACTATCGGGTTATAGGCAAAGTCACGGGATGACAGTGCTATACCATCACTAACATTGAAAGACATGTTATTGATCTGTACAGAGTTTGTTGGTTGAGCGATCTGATTTCACGACCATGACATGGTTGCACGACAATAGTGAGAGAGAGAGAAACATAACACATAAAATAAATTCACGCCTTTTATCCTTGAATGAATAGGCAGAGATCCACATTACTGCACTTTATGCCACTGTACAATGTAACACTCACTTTTCAATATTTATTTTATGACTCCCATCTACCAATAGGGGGCACAATTCCAGACTCCCTGCTACTACTGACAATTTCTCAACATAACAT